TTCCTATTAATACAGCATCATATTATTCTAGAGGAATCTATTTCCACGTATTTTTGAATCTTTACTTTCAACCACTGTCAACTTAGATGACAACTAGAATAGTTAGTATTACTCATGTTTGACAGGTTTGTTTGTTTATTTCTAATTGTCTCTGGTAGAATGACATGGTAATGAATCATTTACAAAGTAGAGAAGAAAAAATTTTTTAATAATTCAGCTTATTGTTATGTTACCATCATACTACCAGGTACTGATGGGAATTATTATCTAAAGTAAGTGAGGATACCACGACAGGGTTTTTCAGCAATATGCTGTATTTATTTCTGAAGTTTCTTCTAAGTTTCTTCTTCTTCTAAGTCACTTTCTGAGACCACCTAGATACAAGTGACAGGCATTACATTTACAGCCAGGGCATTTTTTTATTATGCTATTTGTCCAAAATGTGTGCTGAAAATGGAAAACAGTTCCAGGACAGACAGAAGACAAAATGCCGTTATTCTTTGGTGTACTTCGTATAGATTATACATGGAAAATCTTGTTAACAAGTCAAGCAAGGTAGTCAGAAACAGTCAATGTACTGAGTAGGAATATACTTGCTGACAATTTTAAGAATTAGGGTTTTCTGGAGACTCAACAGAGACTGACAACAGAAAAGCCACTTATCTTTCTATATCTTTTCTAATTCACTACAGTCAGTCATACTGCAAAGCCAGTCAATTGTAACTAGACATTTATAATATAGTATAGTACAGGTTTATATAAGCTCCCGTTTCCAGAATCAAGAAAGAAAATCCTTTCCTCCTCATTCATAACTCCCTGAGCATATTTATTTTAGATCCATACTACTAAAAATTATTTCACTCACATACATATGTTTAATTACAACTCTCCGTTTTTCATTGTTGCAAGTGGTTGAGTCTCATTCTAAACCCCAGATATATTATGCAGGATTAAAGAACAGTCCACTAAATTAGTTTTGTTCTTTAACCCTTTCCCAATGCTTACTTTAATGCCACTTGCCATACAGCACTGACTTGGTTAGAAAAAAAAAGTCACCTAAACTGAAGACTAAACATCGTGTTTGCAACTCTAAGCCTACAGCAAAAATAAATATAAAAAAATCAAAACCAAGCCAAACATTAAAAGATAATCAAACATATATAACCTTGCCTACTGCTATGTGATGGAAAGGTTGTTATAGTAGAGAATTCCCTAGCTTCGGAGAAAAGCTTACTTTTGATAGATATCTACTTAAATACTTGTATCTATTGCAGCCTTGCAAGCACAGATATTGCACCTTAATACATGAGGCATTTTGTGTGTATTGTGAGAAAAACCTTTGCAATCACGAATCAGATTAAGACACTGTTAGCTTTCATAGTCTTGTTACAATAGCAGCTGAAAATCAAAGCCACACCCAAATTATTTTTGCTGATGCATCATGAAGTAAATGACTCAGGATTTCTCTATTAGAGACAGGGGCTTCCCACACCCAATGTTCTTTACCACGATAAAATTTACTACCTAGTAAACCCCCCCTGCTCTAGTTTCCAACCATAGCTAATGGAGCAGATTAACCTTAAAAATAATATTTAATACCGTTGCACAAAGTAAGAGGTTTAAAGATCTCTTCTTAAAATACAGATATGTTTTTCCAAAGCTGTTTCCAATATGCCAGAAACACTGTGGGAGCTTAAACCACCTCCAAAATTACTAAAAGTTATGAATTATCAGTTAAAAAAAAAAGATTAAACACTTCTACCACAGTGATAGCAAAGTACAAGATATGCTGAACAGGTGGCTAAACTCAGAACAAAATAAACAGTATTGAAATCTGCCCTCCTCCCTCAAAACACAGATTTGAAGAAGTTGAGTTAACACTCACAGACAGTGCAATCTTTGTCTCCTGGAAGAGGGTATTCCATTTTTCTTTTCGGTACTGCTCCCATGCACCTGACAGAATCTCGCCCACCTCCCTGTTTCTTTCTGCTTGTCCCTCCAGGATGACCCGAGCCGAGGATGAGAAGGAGCCGTCAGTGTAATTGCACCTGTGCCCCTGCACAGTAGCATTTTCCTGACGGCATCGGCGGATGCAGTTTGAAACTTCCCAGGGCCATGCGATTTCTCCTGACTAATGTGGCTTCCTAACTGGGGGGAGGGAGACGAGGATGACAGATTGCTAAAGGCTTTTAAAAAGATACCGCTTGAAAAAATTATTGCCCATCGATCTTATATGCAGCCATTAATAAGACTTTCCAAGCAACAGTATTTAAAAGCCTTGGTTGTATTCTGCTGGCTGGTAACCACCTCCTCCTGCGCTCCGACTGACAAAGAGCCAGGCACTGACAGGGCTAATATTAGACAATGACTTCAAGGCAGTGAAAGAGTCATTTAAATTTCCTATTCTGCTTTCACTGCCACAGGGGCATAGACCTTGGTTTCTCCAGCACTACTGTATCATCTGACTTAGGTGCAGGCTCTGAGAACTACTTTGAAGCCATTAATCTATTACTATTCCCGGATATTTTCTGAGGCACAATATATATCTAATTCTGCATGCACCTGCGTGACCTGAAGAGTTAAGAAAGTTTTATAGCCTGTGTATAGTGCTGTATCACTGGATCTGTGACATGGGAAAGCGCTTTCCTTCGCATTTTCAGCAGGTGGTTGCACATTACTGCCATCATGGAAAAGTCTTAGAAAGATACGTACTAAACAAAGCCCTGAAACTCACTGAGAGCTCTGGATTATTTACCCATTCAAAAGCGGACCTGCGAATACAGGTGAAAAGCTGAGCAGGACCTTTCTGACAAGGACAGAGATGAAAAATACCTGAAAAACTGAAAGTAAAAGTGGTAAACGTTACCTTCCCTGGAGGACAGGGTAACAGGCCAGCCAGACTCTGTACCTGGAGCTTTGGGTGGGAAGTCACTGCTCATGCAGGTCATCAGACTAGGCTGATATAGGAAAACTGGTTTGTTTTATACCAGTTGTTAACAACTCACAGATTTTACCCTTCACTTACATTCAAAACTAAATTAATGAAATTAATGCATCTGACTGGTAAACTAGTGGAGTATTTCTGAAACATTTTGGAAACCTCTTTAAAACACCAGCTCCAAAGAATTAACTTGTTTATCCATTATAAATCATGTTAATTCTGACTCCTAATGACAACACACTGCAAGCAAACATCTTTACTGAAGTGAAAAGCATCCAAGAAACAAAAGAGACAGTCACATTATAAAGACTAAAAGAAGAGTGAGTCTTTTTTTTTACTCAAGCGTCTCAAGGAAGTTGATTCATGACTTGAAGTTGTAAGAGCAGTACTGCAGTATTAACCCTCCTGTAAACATGACCCCAGAGTAATTAATACAGAGGATGATTACAAAATTTTTGGACCAACAGACCTCAAAATTTACTATGGATCATCATGTACTTTTGTCTTCAAATATTCTATTAAAAATAATAAAGGCAATATGGGTTCACACACCATACGGCCCATATGCTTTTCTCTATCCGTTCAGATACAACTTAGTGTTATCCAAAAATGCCTGATGAGTTTACCTGGTCTCCACAGCAACCAGACTGTTTGTTACACAGTCTTAAGTTTGCAGTTTCTTTTATTTTCACCTGCCTCCCAGTCATGTGATGAGAGCACAGCCTGTCCTCCCCTTCTTAGCAGACTGCTGAGAAGCAAAATATCCGAAATAGTCCATCCGTCACTAGTCCAGGTGCCTCTACAGTTCACTGCAATTTGCAGCAGAGATATCTCCCCAGGCTGCATTTACATGGTCAATTTAATCGGCCATTACCAGTGGGTGCAGATGAAAGCTGCAGTACCATTTTAGAACACTAATGGTAATATTTATACAGCCAAATGGTGAGATGGAACAAGGAACTGATCTGATTGTAAAAAAAATAAAATCCATCTTTTTTTTTTTCTTTCTTTCTTAGCCAGGTCAGTTTATAGTCTAATCAGTTTCCTGAGCCAGTTTACAGCATCACCCACAAACCCCGGTGGATATCTACCATCCATAAAGAGGATGGGAATAAGCCAGAAAAGACGAGTGAAGCCCGAACACCTCTTCTGACAACACCCCACACTTCAGGCAGACAAAGCAGAGTCTCAGAACCAGCTCATCAGAATGACAAGTGAACTGTGGTTTTGACAGAACTGTGTATTTAAAACTGGCTTTATTTCATGCATATGTATGAAATGAGAGTCCTGTATCTTTAGTCCACCCAAAGGATCCTGTTGAGAGAGCATTACTGACAGTAGCATTGAAGTTGGGTGAATATTCTTTTTCAGCTACTTCTTTTTCCTAATTTGTAACATTTGAGACATTATTTTTTAGAATACAACATTTATAAGCTTGATGCTTGACAAAAATCACATTACTTTGCAAGTGCTAAAGTTTTCAGGTTTTTGAATGAACGTGACTTAAAATTTTCATCACAACGAAAAGTTGCTGAGGTTAGGTTTCCTGGGGTTTTTGTTTGGTTTTGTTTCATTTTTTAAACAAAATCATTTTAGAAAAGCTCAATTTGAGTGGAGAAAGCATTTGTGAAAGCAAACATCACTGAGTGTTTTGATAAAAGCTACATTTGGTTGAAAAGGGTTCAGATGGGGATTTGACCATCTCAATTTAGTGACGCACCAGTATTCTAAACAAAGAAATACCATATTTTAGACATGTTTTACTATTGTAGGCATGCAGAGAAGACATCAGCTAAAGGCTGTTCTGAATATAGTTGTATTATGCTGGGAAATGGTGGTGCCTCTTCCTGGAATCTCTCTTAAATCTTACAGAGATCTGTATACATTATATGTAGGCATCCTCCATGCTCTTCAGCACCAAGCAGCATCTTGGCTTGTTGCCTAAATGAGCAGTGAGTTGTCTTTCTGAACCTGACATTTGAATGTGTTGTGATGTTGCCAAATATTTCCCAAGCACTTTTGTCCCACATCCCTCCTAAACGGACTCCACCATTCCTACCTCCTCCCCGCACAGGCCAGACCCAGTGCCAGGTAGTCGCCAGCCCTTCTGAGTGCTGGTGCTTCCTTTCTCTCTCAGGGTGGCATGCTGCTTGTAAACCACTTCTCCACTGTTTTCAGGACTCATTCTTCACATTAGCTTCTTCCATTATAGTAAGACGACAAAGAACGCAGACCAAGTCTCTCCAAACTCTGGAAAGGGTAATTCCATTTCTGTGCATATTTTCCCCCAATGACGGGAAGATGACTGCTTGAGCAAGGGCTGGCTGTGAAATGAGAGCACCTGTTATATGTTCAAAATCTTTGTTCTGAGTCTGTGGGTTCCAATTCTAGCTTCGGTAGAGCTGTGTTCAATATTTTACATCAATATAAACTTTTGAATTTGGACATGAGATTTGACTCTCTTTGTGTTCATCCCCAGCTTGTTTTCTTTGTAAGTACAGATTAGTATGGATTCTGAGATTTGATGCAGATAGATGAGCAAAAGAAAGTCTCATTTTGTTAATTTGGTATTATTCTCCCATTTGCACAAAATAAAATTTGAAGTCGGGAAAGATCACATATACAATTTATATTGTATTTTTCAGTCTGGGATTTCTAACGGGACAAACAATAAATCCCAAATTTAAAAGCCTGGAGTCATACTAATGACCAGATCCTCTAGACCTAGAACAAAAAATTAGATTCAACAGTGACACTACCATCATGACACTCAGCCAGCCTTTAGTGGGGCTATTCTTTAACATGTATTTCCAGTAGTACTGAAATAGCTAGTGAATAGCATCATTAAGTAAGTAATTTGGACAGAACTGGTTGTAGGAATGGCACAAGACTCATGAGTTAATGAAAATAATGTCTCAAGTGAGGAAAGCTTTCTTTCCTAATTAAAATTTTTTAAAAATGGAGAGATGTTTATGGCAATGAAATGAATTCAGTACTATATTTTACACAATACTACATGCAAAGCTTTATATTTCAATCATTGTGTATGAAACGGTGTGTATTGACGGTTGGACTCGATGATCTTAGAGGTCTCTTCCAACCTTAATGATTCTATGATTCTAAAAAGCCCTTAAAAATCTAAGGTGGTGGCAGTTTGACATTGTGGGTGTCAAAATCTCATTTTTTGTGCAATCTAGTGAAAAATCTTGCATGGATTAACTTTCTTCTGCAAACACAGCATTAAAATGGAAAACAACAAAAGTCAGCTCCAATCCTTCCACCAGAACCATGACACAGTCAGGAAGACTTTCTGGGATTAGGTTCCAACAATGGTCTGAGTGAACCTGAAGGAAGGAGCATCTCACAGATGAGGAAAGGCTGAGAGAGCTGGGACTGTTCAGCCTGGAGAAATGAAGGCTCAGCGGGGATCTCATCAGTGTGTGTAAATACCTGAACGGAGAGTGCAAAGAAGGCAGAGCCAGGCTCTTTTCCATGGTGCCCAGTGACACGACCAGAGGCAAAGGGCACAAACTGAAACACAGGAGGTTCCCTCCGAACATCAGGAAACACTTTTTCACTGTGAGGGTGACCAAGCACTGGCACAGGTTGCCCAGGGGGGTTGTAGGGTCTCCATCCCTGGCGCTATTCAAAAGCCGTCTGGATATGGTCCCGGGAAACTGGCTCTAGCTGGCCCTGCTTGAGCAGGGGGGTTGGACCAAATGACCTCCAGAGGTCCCTTCCAACCTCAACCATTCTGCGATTCTGTGAGCATAGCTTTAGTATCTATCCAAATGTAAAAAACAAACTTGTACAAGCTCATTAAAATATAGGACAAATGACTTAGCTGGAAGCAGAAATCGGGAGCCAAAAACGCACTCAAAGAGCAGTGTTTGGAGCACCTTCATCCCAGTGCTCTGAAAGAATGGGCACAGGAGATCAAAGACCCAGCAGAAAGGATTTCTAATAAATCTATAAACTCAAAAGTGGAAAAAAGCAAACATAGTGCCTATATTTACAAGGAGAAAAAAGCAATCAGGAATATGTCAGGCCTATGAATCTGATCAAAAGCCAGCATGCTACTGAGGATAATTACTCTTTCTTGCAAAATTCAAAGACAAAGAAGAAAACAGATGATCATCGAAGAAGATATCACGTGGGTTCACCAGGGGTAGATTGTGCCAAACTCACTTGACATCTTTCTTTGACAAGACAGCTAATTTTTCTAGATAAAGGAAATGTGGGAAGTTTATATGGACTTTTTATACTGTGCCATATGGGGTATGGACTTTTGATACTGTGCCATATCAGTTAAGGAAAAAGATGGGAAAGGAACCAAATATGTAGATGGCAGAGATAACCGTGGGTTATGCTGAACAGAAAACTATCAGATCAGAAGAAGGTTACTAATGGAGTTCCTAAAGAATGAGTCTTTGGTCAAAGCTTTTGAATTTTCCTTAATTAACCTTATACCAAAAAAGCATGCTAATGAAATTTCCCAATAACACCAAGTAACATCATATATGCAGAAAAGGCTTGAAACGTCATACAAAAAGAATGGGATGACCTTGAGTGGGTACTGATAATGGTATGCAATTTAACAGTAGACAACAGCAAGACCTTACACAGAGGAACTAATAAAAACAAACTCTCCGATAATGTGGAAGCTGTTGATAAAATTAAGAACAGACATGAGTGGTTACCCTATCACATTACAACCAAGTCAAACAATATGAAAACCTGAAAAAGTTGTTTGTAGGCCTAGGATGCAAGAAACAAAGTATTCCCAGCAGAAGCAAGTGAAAATAGTTGTACAAGACCCCAGCAAGAACGCCGAGTACCATGGTGCAAGCTCAGGTAAAGAAAGATGAACTCAAACTGAAGTAGATGTAAAAAACCCCCAAAAACAAACAAACAAAAAACCAAATCAAAAATTAAGAACAGGAAAATCTGTTTTGTGAAACGAAGCTAAAATATATTGTATTATTCAGTTCAGCAAAGCCCTTAGCCGGGAGAAGATTGCTTCCTATGAATACATTAGGAGAGGTAAATTCTAGAGAAATATAAAAACTATATACGCTAATGGACAATATTAGCAGAAGTGTACGTAGGTATGAAGTAGCCATGAATAAATTTCAAGTCAGAAATTAGATGGCAGTTATTAACTATCAAAGCAATGACGTTCTGACACAGTCCTCCCACTGGAATAATGATGCAGAAATGTAGCCAGTTTGAACAAGGAGTTTCCTTAATTTAGACATTAAAAAAAGAAAAAGAAAACAAGGAGGGAATGTCATTGTCCAAACAACAAAAAACCTAACACAATTCCAGTCTCACATCAAAATACCCAAAACGCTGCAATTTTCCAGAGGACTCTGGGGTACACTATAACTGCAGTGCACACTAACTACAGCATTCTGTCTTCTAGCCTATTTTGTAAAAAATTCATCTCAAGTAACTTAACATCAAATTTCCTATCTTATGATCTCCCTTAATAAATTAAGACAGACATTAATAAAGAATGCCATTCATTGTTCCTCCATTTTTTACCACAATCTGTTCTACACTGCAACAATTTTTAATTTGACACACTGCTGGCAGATGAGCCCAGGCCAAGCATATCAGGGGCACCTCTGTGTTTCTTGGGTTCTGTCCCCTCCCCCCCAATATTTGTAGCATTTTAATTCCAAGAGCAACTGGTTGTAACAAATGGAAGAACTGAAGTGCTGAGGACTATGCAGTCAGTGAATTAAAAATTGCTGGCTGCTGTAGGATTTAATTTATAAACTGGGTAGAGTACAGCAGCACTTACTGGGTAGAGTAAAATGCCCATCATTCATTATTGTTCAATCACAATGATCTGCAATGGCTCTTGAACCGGATGGAAAACACTGCTTTCCCAGGGCGGTGATGCCATGTTTGTGCTTCCCTTCCTTCAGAAATACATTAATGTAAAAGATAACTTTGATAGTGAGAAAAATGATCGGTCCTTGGAAGCTCATAAATATCTATCAGAGGGCCATCATCTGATGCTGCAGAATTTGTCATGCAGACAGCTGTCGCTGATGTATTCAGGGCCTGTTGGACAGAGCTATGACCTGAAAAATGTGCAGAAAATAACACGGGGCATAACTGTGATGTGGAACAGGTGAAGCATATCCTGTTTGCTTCTCTTCCCTCTCCTACCCATTCCGTTGGGTATGAAAAACATGAAGGACCACTTCTTTCCTGATTATGCATTTGTTAGCACACCACTACTGCTTATAATATTGATCGATACCTTATTCACAAGAGCTACAAAAGCACAGAGGAAACAGCTGTTCACAGTAACCTAGGTCTAAATGCTGAAGGCCTCCTTGCAACAGTGACCACTGAAGAACAACATGGGAAGTGACCTACTGAGGAGCAGAAAAAATGTAGTTGCTTACCAGAAACCACAAATAATTAAGGGAGAGAGTTTGGGGCCCCAGAAAAAAATTAAAAGAGTAATTAAAAAATAAATACGTCATAGCATTAACTATCCAAATACTTTTCGGCTCCTTCCTAATTCCCATCTCTGGCTCACCTGTGTGGAGTATGTTCATAATTTTCTGTGGAACCTTCATTTTACAATAGCACGAACCCTGCTGAGCACTTCCGAAGATAATTTTTGCGGGTATTTCAAGGTACCCGTTATTATCAGCGGGTATCTCACCCAGCTCTGCACCCCAACCAATCAACCAACCAACCAACACCATCCGTATTTTTCCTACTGTTGCTTATCTGATGTTATAGTTGTACCCTAATATATGAACGATACGTTACTATGTCACTCAGTATACCTATAAGTGTGTATATACACAAACACACACTTGTTACAGTAATGTATCAAAGAGCCTTTACTAGTGACTGAACTCCATTCCCAAAATGCAAAGAAAATAGTGAAGTGCATATGCACATGCAGGGAGGTCTTTTACTCCCTATGCAGTAGAACTTTTTCAATCAAAACAGTAACTGCTGCGTGAACTGAAGAACTGCGGAACTGTAAAACAAGTATCACTTTTATTGAAGAAGGAAATGCAGAGGGCGGGCATTATACCCGTGAAATAAATTCTCACCATGGATTTATGCCATTAAAGGAAGCGATTTAACATAGCAGCACTATAAATAACACATTTTATTGTTAGAATTCCAGGTTGGTTGTGGATG